TTTTCTTTTCTTTTCTTTTCTTTTCTTTTCTTTTCTTTTCTTTCTTTCTTTCTCTTTCTTTCTTTCCTTCCTTCCTTCCTTCCTTCCTTCCTTCCTTCCTTCCTCTCTCTCTCTCAAAAATAATAAGCATAAAAAAAGATTTTTGCTTTTTCTTAATATAGGTTTTTATTGCCATACACTTTCTTCTTAAAACTGCTTGTTCAGCATCATATAGATTTTGATATGTTTTGCTTCCACACCCATTTGCTGACAGCCTCCCTTTTCCTTTCGCAAGGGCTGTGCTACCCTTTAAGTCTGTGGTTCTTTCTGGTCCACAGATTCAAACCAGTTTTCTAAACATGCTCCCTGTCTGCCAAAGCTCACTCCCATTGCAGTCAAGAGTGTGCACAAGGAACCAGCCATGGGGTAGAAGGGTATGTGGATTAGGCATCATAAGCACTGGATGGAGGCCAGTTTGAGGAATCAGTGAGCAAGGCACCCTTGTGGCTTGTGTGTGGGTCTCCTGATGGAGTTCACAATACACTTAGTAACATCTGCATCCCTTTGATGCATTCCCTGTGCATTGACTGCTCTTCTCCCAGCCAGTCACATCCCAGGTCCTCAAACTTCACCACTTTCAGGTAGCTTACAATTCAATACTCCCTACTGGGGAAAGGGAAAGTGGCCTCTTTAGCAGCATGCCGAACAGGTAGGAGAGCCTAGACTCAGCTATACACACTCTGCTCCTTCATTCCCTATTGCTCTTGTGCTGCCTTTTGGGAGGGGTGATACATTTCATGTCAGACTACTACTCTTACCCTCTCAAATGCATCCAGTCTCCAATCTGTTTGCTTCAGTGATGTCCCGGAACTTCATGGGATCCTGGATTTCTACAAAGGTTCATTTGTACATGATTGATTGTCTAAGTCCCTGTGCTCAAGGGGCTTCCAGACTATAGCCAGGAGGGGTAGAGCTGGTTCACAGGCCACCTCACAGTCTGCAGCTGGTACCAAGCTCTATTATTCAATGCATGGATAGGAAAGACTCCTTCCGGCACTTTTGTCCATGGAAGGATGCCAAATTTAATTGTCATTGTTGAGTAGGGGATATGTGGAAAGACATCGTATTCACCCATCTTGTTTGATATATTGCTTTTTCATCAATTCCTTTTCATGAATTATGAAACTACATGAATTTTCTCTAAGAAACTTTCAAAAATTCAGACTACTTTTAATCAAGAAAAATATTTTAGGTATGCATATTTATATACATACTGTTCAAAATCTCAATTTCAGCATCTAGAGTACCTCACTCTAAGTACACCTTCTGTTTAATTCATATAGTATAAGTGCACATTTACTGAATTGCTTAAGGCACATTTGCTGAATTTCTTAAGCTAATTAAGCCCAAGGCATAGATTCAATTTCCATATAGGCCAATGCTCAAAAGGAGTGCCATCTTCTCTAAATATTTCTTACATCCCTTTTCTTTTTCTCTCTCCTTCTTTTAATGTGTAAAAATATTCTTGTTCTTCTTTCCCTCCTCTCTGCTTCCTCTTTGCCTCCTACATGGTTTTCTTAAATTTCCTATAACATAAAAGACATATTTATGATTCCCAAAATATTCAGATACATGTGACAAAAAATAATAGAAGTTGACCCTCCTCATTGTGAATTATGTATATAACAAAGATGTATATACTCTTGAATATAGTACATAGACATGAAATTTGCACATCCTATTTCATTTGAATAACTACACATTTGTCTGACATTAGGGTAGATTATAAGAAAATGCAAATTTAGGCAGATGTATTTGAAGTCATTTAGAGGGACACCTGGGTGGCTCAGTCTGTTAAGTGGCCGACTTTGGCACAGGTCATGATCTTGTGGTTTGTGAGTTCGAGCCCCACCTTAGGCTCTGTACTAATAGCTCAGAGCCTGCCTTGGATTCTGTGTTTCCCTCTCTCTCTCTGCCCCTCCCCTGCTCATGCTCTGTCTCTCTGTCTCTCAAAAATAAACATTAAAAAAAATTAAAGTCATTTAGTGTAGATTGGTTATTAAGAAGAAACATGAGGAGGTTTCTGAATCTGTTTTACTGAGTCTTGAGTCAGGAAATACCAATTTTTTTTTCTATTTTATGACTTTTTATAGAAAAGTTTTGCTAATTTATATACATTAGTTTTATATATCCAGTAGCAAAAGACCTTTATTGACAAATGTACAATAAAAGCAGGAGAGAAAGTCTTGAAACTTTTGAATCTAAGCCATTGTTATTTCAGAGAGAAATCTGAGATATGTGTTTTAACTATAAATGCAGGAGTCATATACAAGTAGCTACTTATGTAGCTATATAAGTCCATTACACTGACTGCCAGTGAAGTACAGCTTCTTCTCACATCCAGTTTTAAGTTTTCTATCCATGAATATGCAGTAAAAAAGAAGAGTCTCAAGATACCTTTCTTGGGCTATATTTTCATTGGACAAATTCAGCATGTTTCAAAAGATATGCATATTTGGCTTACACTGTACTGTGAACATATTGGTGGATTATGAAATAGACAAGCTTCATGGGCTGTTTCACTTCCCGTCTCAGTGAAATGGAGTCAATTTTTAAATAAGCTAATAATAAGCACTTCTATTTTCATACATCCTGAGTACATGATCTATGTTTCAGTTGATATAGACCACCTCTTCCTGAAGTGTGGATTAAATTTTGTTGGAGAAGTAATGAAAAGAGAGAGAAATAATACTTAGCTATTGACATTCCAAAATAAAATTTGGAATAATGGCCAAGCTATTGATTTGAGAAAGTACATTTCAGTGATCTATTCCGGAGTTTTCAAATTATACAATCTTTTAATACCTATTTAAAGTACCTATTTTTTCATTTAAGTCTTATACAGAGAGTTTGGAGTTAGGGGAAGGAAAAAATGAGTTGGGAGAAAAAGCATTTAAGCAAAAAAAGGAAGAAAGTTCTTCCTTTCTGGCTCTGGAGAATTCTAGAAAGGGAGAATTGATCCTGTTTCCTTTGAGGACAGAATTACCTGGCCCCAACCCAGAATACAACCATATTAACTAGCCTTTAATATATTTCTTACCTTTCTTTCCTGTAAGTTTGGTGGAAAGGAGGTAGAAGACAGGTATTTCAGAAGCAAACCTGAAAATTCCTCTCTGAATTAACCGTGCCTTAGAATTCTGGTATCAGCTCAGGAAATTGTTACTTTATGACAGCCTTTGGTTTTTTCACAGCTTCCTAAAATAAATCATCAGCTTTTCCCTGTAAATTACTGTATAATGCACTGAGTAGGTCTCTGGAATGATACATGAAAAGATCTGTAATGAAATGAAGAGAAGGGAAGGTTGGAATTTACTCAAATACATCAAGAAAATTGCACCTTATATGGAACTCATAGCCAAGGCAAAATAGGAAAATATAATTGAAAAAGGAAGAAAAAATGTGAAGCCAAAGGCCTAGATGATAAGAATACAAATGCACATATCTAGTCCAGCATCACTATAAAAGCAGAGCTCATAAAAACAATCAATATCCCAGAGTCACTAGAATTGAATTATGCCTTAATCAACAGCTCTCCCTTCTCTCATCCAGTTTGATTAAAGCCCTATGACTATATTGGCTGTTTTGGAATTAGAGATCATATGCCTCATACTTAAAATGCATTGATTTAAAGAAAGCCCAGCTACATAACTTAGCTAAACCTACAGCAACCTCCAGATTATAACCACACTGAGTAGTCATAGCATTAGTGACAAATAATTACAAAACCTTCCCTTCAAGAGAACCATTCAAAAATGATATAATTTCATAAAATTAACATGACAAAAGTTGTTTAAACATGGCTAACATCTTTTAGAATAGTCTGTGTCAGAACTCTGAAGGATTCCTAGGACCCACCAGAGAAGATTGTTAAGATTCTAGTGGCTGAAAAGTACCCAACAAAATTTCTGGAAATATGGTTTCAGAACTAAGCATTACCTGTTCTGAATTCAAAATATATAAAAATAAGTGTAACATAACCATATCACATTGCATTTCATGCACATTTTTTAGTCATGACAACAACATAAATGTGTTTCAATGGAGATGTCTAATTTCTATGGCCTCATCCAAATGCAATGCAAAAAAGGAATGTTTGTATTATAATAGATCCCTAAGGATGAACATACGCAAATGCGACCAACACATTCCCTACCCATGTAGAACGCATAGCCTAGTAGGCTTGCTTATAATACATAAAAAGGAGATAATGACATAATTAATTCTTTAGTCTATTTGCCCATCTGTGATGGACCCTCACCTCTCCTTTACATGTGCTTATTTACACAAGACCATCATTTACATTATGAAGCTGAAAGAATGCATATCATTGTGGTGTTGCTCAGATGTCATCTGGGTTTTTTTTAGTGTCTGTATATCTTAAGTAAATGAGCCCTCCTGCTTTCCCCTTCATCTATGACCCCCACCCCACAGAAGTATAAATGGCAGGAAACAAGAACATTTTAAAGTCCCCTGAACATTTCTTAGCACTTTAGCACTGTTGACTTCCTGGAGTTACGGATATTAACAGTAGAGGACAAATTTATCTCCTTTTAAATATTTCGTATGTAGTATATCCTTATGGCATAATTTACAAAAAATTATTCACCCTCTCTCTCTCTCTGACCCTCCCTTGCTCATGCTGTCTCTCTCAAAAATAAATAAAACATTAAAAAAATAATGAAAAAAAAGGAAAAGGAGTGCCTGGGTGGCTCAGTCGGTTAAGTGTCCAACTTCAGCTCAGGTCATGGTCACACAGTCTGTGGGTTTGAGCCCTGTGTCAGGCTCTCGGCTGACAGCTCAGATCCCGGGGCCTGTCTACGGATTCTGTGTCTCCCTCTCTCTCTGACCCTCCCCTGCTCATGCCGTCTCTATCTCACTCTCAAAAATAAATAAAACATTAAAAAAATTAAATAAAATTATTCATAATCTAGTATGCATTATGTAAGATTTTAGAGAAAAATATATAACAAATGATGTTAGGGGCGCCTGGGTGGCTTAGTCGGTTAAGCATCTGACTTTCGCTTAGGTCATGATCTCGCGGTTCGCGGGTTCGAGCCCCGCGTCGGGCTCTGTGCTGACTGCCAGCTCAGAGCCTGGAGCCTGTTTCAGAGTCTGTGTCTCCCTCTCTCTCTGGCCCTCCCCTGCTCACACTGTTTCTCTCTCTCTCTCCTAGAAATAAATAAAAATATTAAAAAAAAATGATGTTAGTGGGACAAATTCTTATACCACTTGGGCTGTTCAACACCAGTGATTTTTAGTGGTCCTTTATTTTATTTTTCAAACTATCTCAATTTTGTTAGCTCCTCCATTTCCCTTTTGTCATCATTTAACTCTTTATCAATTACCTTACTGTTGGTTCTCATAGAACTTATCAATACCATTTGTGTGGGTGCTGTGGTTGTGTATGTGCATGCGTGTGTGTGCAGGTGCATGCATGGCAGGAGGAAAGGAGGTGTATTTGATATTCCAGCTATTTAGTGGTTACAGGATAGATAATGGGTTCCTAGTTTCTTCTGGAACCAGTTTTGTTAAGCTATATTTTGCTAGGAATCTGTACATTTTCAAATTTGTTGACATAAATGTGTGAATATTTTCTTTTTTTGAGTTCTATATTTTATAAAGTACACAAAACATATGTGATGAACTTTTATTTATGTGCATATCCATATAATTGCCACCTGATCAAGATAAAAAGCAAATGCTTTTTTGGAAATTAAAAAAAGCAAAAGTAAATGTGATGCACCAGTGGGTTTTCTTGGGCCTCTTCAGAAGTGATTCCAGTCAAATTTCTATCTTACAGATTTTTTAACAGGCTTATTTCATTCAACATTATGTCTGGGGAAATTATTCATGATGTGTTTAGCCACAGTTTTGTTGTTGTTGTTGTATACAATTGTGTAAATAAAACTGTTGTTTTCAGACTATTTCATGATTTCCATTTGGTTGCATATTTGAGCCTTGAATCAGAATTTGTAGAAATTGTAAAAATATCAGGTATTTCAACCTGCATTTTTGTTGTGGATTTGTAGTTTAATAGTATTGTGGTCAGATAAAATAATCTGATCATGTTAATCATTTAACATTTGTTGAAATTTGCTTTAAACCAAGGTTATAGTCCATTTTTAAATGTGCTATACTTTAAAAGAACGTATAATTTAGAGTTTTGTAGTTCTTCAATTGTCTATCATCTGATGACTAAATACTGTTCATATTGTCTATTTCCCTATAGATTTTTGTCTGTGTTTTCTTATTTAATTGAGACATAATTGACATCACCTTTTGCGAGTTTAAAGTGTACAACCTATTCATATGATACGTTAGTATATTGTAGTAGGATTACCACTTTAGCATTAGCTAACACGTCTATCATGCCACATAATTATCACTTTGTTTTTGTACAGAGAATAATTGATATCTAGTGTCTTAGGAATGATGAAGTTTATAATAAAGTATTGACTATAATTTCTATTTTGTGTATTAGATTTCTAAGACTTCTATATCTTCTACTTCCAAGTTTGTACCCTTAAACAATATTTCCCTGAATCCCCCACCTCCTGGCTCCTTGAAATTAGAAAAAGATTTTAAACTCTCCAAATATATTAAGGATTTGACCGTATATTTATATATGATTTCCTGGTTTTTGCTTTATGTATTTATATGCTAAGATATTAGATAAACATTTTAATGATTTTAATATACCAATTACTGAATTTCGGTTTTTAATTTTGAAATGACTTACATTATCCCTAATAACATAATTTGCCTTAAAATTAGTTTTTATGATACATCCATATAAGTTCCTTTGGATTATCATTTATATTTTTCTATCCTTTTACTTTCTTTATGTATTCTTTCTGTATGTAGAAAGAACATAATAGAACAAAACAGATTTTTTAAATTTTTTAATCTTTATTTTTGAGAGAGAAAGACAGAGCATGAGCAGGGGAGGAGCAGAGAGAGAGAGAGAGAGGCAGAGAGAGAGAGAGAGACAGAGACAGAATCCAAAGCAGCCTCCAGGCTCTGAGCTGTCAGCACAGAGTCCGATGTGAGGTTTGAACTCACTAATCATGAGATCATGGCCTGAGCTGAAGTCGGATGCTTAACCGACTGAGCCACCCAGGCACCCAAAAATAGATTTATTTTTAAGAATCCAGTTAAAAATCTTTGGGCACTGCTTTTATTTATTTAGTTTTGAAATGTTAATTGTATTATCAGAACTCAAGAAAGATATCTTCATGAATTGATAAAGTACAAAGATGGAAAAATGTTAGGTTTAGCAAACTACATGTACCACTTAGATTTAGGCATAAAATTAATATAGAAGAAAATACTCCACTGAGATTTCTATTTAAATAACCTACTACTTTTAGGGTATGAGTACCTACATTGCCAGATAACAGAGTTAAGGACCAATGATTAATTGCACCTATACTTAATGAAAAATAACCCTCCTCTTTTTACATAGTTATCTATACCTTTAAATACACATATCAAATTAGGGGTGTGTCCAGAAATGACTATATCCACATTTCATAACATAAATATTTTATCTTTTGAAATGTTAGCTATGATACTGAGAATACAGTAATTTCTGATTCTGTGATCTCTTAAAAGGACTAAGATTACCTAGAGATACCTAGGAAAGTGTAAATTTTTAATGAACAAAAAAGAAGTACAAGTGGTCTGATATGTAAGGTAACTGAAAAAGAGTGTGTGGCAAAATTTTAAGAGGAATCACCTGAATTTATGATCATGAGTAACATCAGTGGCCAGGAGTCTTTGCAGAGGCTAACCAAATTTGAATGTGAATTGATTATCTACCATAGAGGACTACTGTGCCAGTGAAAAACACTGCAATTTTGATACTTGGGTACATTTTTCTCCCAGTAATTTCACTTTTCTTCACTTGTTGACAGAAAGATGAACCAAGGCTGACTATCAATAACATAATCCATTTTGGCAACCACTGGCATATGATTGGACTCCTGAGTATACGTAATGTATCCCATTAATGTACCCTAAGAAAAATTCTCCCATACTTTTGTCCAACATTCCTGAAGGTTTCCTGCTAATTAGACTCCGTAGAGGCAAGCTGCATCTTCAGAATCCAGCCTTTTATGTTCTCTTTACCTATTTAGCTAAGAAGTCAGGACCCTCATTTGCATGAGAGTTTTAACTTCAAATCGTGTCATTGTCTGCTTTTAGCATTTTCTCTGTAAACCTAACAAGATAGCAAATAATCCTACTGAGGCACACGCAGTGTCTGAACCAGAAGAGATAGGTTCTAAAATTGGAGATAGTTCACAGTGGCTTATAGAAGTTATAAAAGTCCACAATCGAAAGCAGTTTTATATATCAGGGTTTATTTTTATTTCTTAACAAATACAGGATGCAGACCATGAGGGATGAAGGGTGTAGGTAATGCTCAGGAAAATGCATTTGTCTTCATGGGTTTTCCATCCATGTGGCACAGATTATGCTGCTGTCTGTGTTTCTGAATTTTATGATTTAACTGAGCCACATTAGTGATATTGTATAAGATTCCAGTGATTTAACCCAGACGCGAGGGTTCAGCAAACTGAATTTCCTAGTCATATATTTGAAAATTAAATAAAATGGAATTTGGTTTATATGTCCTTTGGTTTAAAATTTTGCTTTCACCATAAACTTCAATTATACAAATACATTATACATTATTCACCTATTTCTCACTTATTTTTCTTTATCCTGGTGTAAACATTACTTGAAATCTTTAAGACTTGATTTAAAAATTGATCTTTATTTTATAAAAACTATCCATGATGGTTTCACACAGAATTTCATGGGAATTTATATTCATTATTATGAATTTTTATTCATACATAATTTGCACATAAGGGAATGAGTTGCTAACAGAAGCAGTCCTGAAAATGGTCAAAAGGAAAAAGGACGGAAGGGAAATTATTGAAATAAAGACAGTACTTTAGAAATGTTGATCTAGGGGTGACTGGGTGACTCAGTCAGTTAAACATCCGACTTCGGCTCAGGTCATGATCTCATGGTTTGTGGGTTCGAGCCCCACATCGGGTTCTGTGCAGGCAGCTCAGAGCCTGGAGCCTGTTTCAGATTCTGTGTCTCCCTCTGTTTCAAAAATAAATAAAAAGTATAAAAAAGTTTTTAAAAAGAAATGTTGATCTATGAAAAATATTTTAGCATACCGGTATCAGTATGTTGAGTTTACAGTGATACTGGGAAGCAAAGATGAATTCAAATTTAGCAACTTTGCAGCATCAGAATCTAACCTTTTATTGAGGTGTCTTGGCTACTGCACAGAGAACTTACCTGAGCCCACTGGTCCTGCTTGAAATCTGTGTCAGATATACCATCTCCATTTTACTGTGGACTACTGCTGAGACCATCTGATTTTTATAGCTTAGCAAGTATGACAAAACTGAGCTGTTCATAGATAGCTCACTTGGTGCCTACTCACTTGGTGTCCCATGGCCAAGTGTTCTTTTTCTGCTATGATCTGGTAACTCAAGATCTGTTTATGGAAGACTGTAAAACGCTCTGCTACAGAGGGCATAGCCTTATCTGAAGTCCCAGGGTTCTACATTGTGACTACACCACTCTCTAGAACTTTCTGTGATTCCATATTGCATCCGTATCTACCACTGACCCTTCTAACATTCTAGATTATGTGAATAATGTCTCAAGAAGGGCTGATTTTATTGTGGCCATACATACTCTAGTGCCTTTCTCCAGGCTCTACTCAAAGTTGGAAGCCTTCTATGCAAATATTCCTAAGGATTACATTGCCTCGAGAATACAAAGGAACTACGATACACCATGCTGTTTCTTCCTAATGGGGAATTCAAGATGTAGGAATTGATCTTTACTTTGAAGAGGGTGTCCTGACCATTGGACCCATAAAATTGATGGCCAGTCCATGAATCTTCATAGTATTTCTCTACCACTCGTTAAGTCTTACTGCGTCTTCCATTGTACTAGCCACCTTGCTCGCTCTTTTCAATCTGCATATCGTTGTCAATGTAATAAGTGTGTTTTCTCTGATACAGTAGATTAAGAAGAGCCACATCTCTTCAGATTATATAATAACAGGGTGGAAGTAAAAACATAGCCCTGAGACAAAACTATAAATGAATATTTTCCATTCCATGTGAATGCAAACTATTTCTGAACCTCATTTTGATTGTAGTAGAAAATAGCACATTAGCTAAATTTAATAGCCACATACCATGGACTGCTGTATCTGCTCTAAAAATTATAGTACATGCAACAAAACACTTATGATCAGGGCTTCTACTTGGTTTAGTCATTGATAGTCTATGATCATTCTCCAGGATCCATCTGGTTTCCAAGAGCCAGGATGGCATGTTAAAAGGATTTACTAAAGGCTCCATCAACTATGATTTCTGTAGGTCTTTTTATGGTAGCATTAATCTCTGCCATTCTGGCCCACGTGGATGTCTGTGCATGTTGGGTAAAGGCATTTAGAGGTTTTCGTTTGTCATTACAATGATAGTGCATCTGAAGACCTGAAATTAGAGTTACTCCATCCACCAAATCATTGAATTTCAACAAGGCACTCAGAGACTTAGAGAAGAAAGAAAACACACACATACACACTCTGGCATAATGGATGTGTTCATGGACAAAGTGCATTCACTGTTAACTAGACTTTAAACAAGATGCCATATTAAAATTATTATCAGAATCTGGTAGACTTCAGTTATAATGGGGCAACCATGACCCTTTGGGTCTCCAGCTGTGAGTTTCAATTTAGCTCCTATATTCAACAGTTGTCAGAATGCCTTGTCATTCCCCATTTCCTCAGATACAGTCACTTGAGTGATTGGCCGTAGGTTTCGATGGGGGTGGGGGAAAGACGAGGGAATCTTCACTGTGTATTTTCCCTTTGATACTGCAGGGTTTTCTTCCAGGGAGTCAGTACCCTTTTTAATCAGTGGATTCTGGATCTGAAAATCAGTTCAGATCTTATAACTGTGCAAGGGATCATAACCTTCTTCCCCTCCCTTCTCCGAACGAATGTCTTCTTGCATCCTTTCTTTTTCTTGACTTTTTTAAATAACAGGTATTGAATGGAATTCTTGATCTCTATTTTACCTTTATGGACACATGCTACATTAACCATTTCAACTGCCTACACATCAAATGTCCTTCCCCACTCTTAGTTGTTATGATAATGAAGATTCCTGGTAGTGGTTAAAGTGGGACCAATTGGCCCATTATTTTAGGAACTCATCATCTCCATGTATGTTTATGATCAGGCTATGTGACTACCTTCCACTGCCAGCCCTGACTTGCAGAGGAGAATCATCACAGAATTTTTTAGTGATATTGGCATTATTTTCTCCAGTGCCTTCCCAATGTCCTTGATCAATGATAAGTATCCTGAGCCTTCTTAAGGAAGATAACTCACCAGCAGATATTCTAACTTTACATCATATATATCTCTCACCACGTTTACTTCCCTTAGCCTCTTTATTTTGTCCTCTACCGTGTGTCAGGACAACTTAGATATTTCTACTACATTGAATATAGGGTGTTTTTTGTTATTGTTTTTTTTGTTTTTTGTTGTTTTTCCCCAGGCTTATAAGAGCTATATGCACAGTGAATTTGCCCTGTCATCTCAGGTCATTGCTAATGTGTTATGTCCTATATGTCAAGAAAGTATCACTTGCACAATAAAGTTTTTATTAGCTAGTCTTAAACTCTAGCCCCTTTGATCGAGAATCCTAAAGATCCAACCTACAAATAGTCCCCCTAGCACCAACTGGTACATGCAAACTACTTTTTTTTTAAGGTTACAAAATGCTCATCATGATATAGTTACCATCTTTTACCATGCAAAAATATTACAATTTTAATTGTATTTCTTAACTGTACTTCTCATCCCCATGACTTCTCTATCATTGGACATTTGTACCTCTTAATTCCCTTAGTTTATTTTGCTATCCCACCACTCACCTCCCCTCTGGTAACTACTGGTTTATTCTCATAAATACAGAGAAATACTAACCATTTTGATTGGTGTGAGATGATATTTCATTGTGGTTTTGATCTGCTTTTCCCCAATGATTAGTGATGTAGAGCATCTTTTCATGAATATGTCTTCTTTGGATAAATGTCTCTTCAGATCCTCTGCCCAGTTTCAATTGAACTATTATTATTTTTGATGCTGAGTTGTATGAGTTCTTTATGTATTTTAGTTATTAACCATATTAACTCCTTTATAGACATATCATTTGGAAATGTCTTCTCTCCTATTTAGAAGACTTCCTTTTCATTTTGTTGATGATTTCCTTTACTGTGCCAAAGCTTTTTAGTTTAATGTAATCTCAATGGTTTTTGCTTTTGTTTCACTTGCTCAGGCAGATAGTTCTGGGAAAATATTGTAAAGATAATATCAATAATACTGCTTGTGTTTGGGGAATTTTATGGTTTCAAGTCTTACATTCAGGTCTTTAATTCATTTTTAGTTAATTTTTGTGTATAAGAAAGTAGTATAGTTTTATTCTTTTCATGTAACTGTCCAGTTTTCTCATCATCATTTTTTGAAAAGATAGTCCTTTTACCTTTGTATATTCTTCCATCTGTTGCCATATATTAATTCATCACATGAGTGTGGGTTTATTTCTGGGCCCTCTGTTGAGTTCCATTGATCTACGTGTCTATTTTTGTATCAGTACTATACTGTTTTGATTGCTATAGTTTTGTAGTATAGTTTACAATTGGTATTTGATACCTCCAGCTTTGTTCTTTCTCAAGATTGCTTTGGCTATTGAGGTCTCATGTAGTTCCATACAAATTTTAGGATTACTTTAGTTCTGTGAAGAAAACTATTTGCAGTTTGATAGGGCTTACACTGAATCTATAGATTGCTTTGGATAGTTGGGACATTTTAACATTATTGATTCTTCTAATCCACAAGCATGGTATGTATTTCCATTTATTTGTGTATCTTCAATTTTTTCCATCAGTGCCTTTAATGACTTTGAGAGTATAGGTTCTACATTTCTTAGGTTTAGTTTATTGCTATGTATTTATTCTTTTTGATGTAATTATAAATAGGTTTGTTTTCTTTTTTCTATTTTGTTATTAACATATAGAAACACAACATATTCATATATATTTGTAACTTGCAACTTTGCCGAGATGATTAGGTCTCCTCGCTTTTTGGTGGAGCCTTTGGAGTTTTCTATATATAGTCTCATGTAGTCCACAAAGAGTGACAGTTTTACTTCTTCCTTAGTTTGAATGCTTTTTATTTCTTTTGCTTGTCTGATTACTATGGCTAGAACTTCCGATATGATGAATAAAAGTGATGAGAGTAGACATTCCTGTCTTGTTCCTGATCCTAGATGAAAAACTTTCAGGTTTTTACCATTGAGTATGATGTTAGCTGTGGGTTTTTCATATGTGGACTTTATTATGTTGAGGTAAGGTCCCTCTATACATGCTTTGTTGAGAAGTTTTATCTTGAATGGAAGTTGAACTTTGTCAAATGCTTTTTCCTCCTCTCTTGATATGATCATACAGCTTTTATCCTTCATTTTGTCTGTGTAGTCTATCATATTGGTTGATTTGTTGATATTGAACCATCCTTGCATTCTTTTTTTTAAATTTTTTTTTTTTAAATGTTTTATTTCTGAGAGTGAGTGAGAGAGAGAGACCAACCACGTGAGCAGGGGAGGGTCAGAGAGAGAGGGAGACACAGAACCAGAAACAGGCTCCAGGCTCTGAGCTGGCTGTCAGCACAGAGCCTGATGCAGGGCTCGAACCCACAAACCGTGAGATCATGACCTGAGCCAAAGTCAGACGCTTAACCAACTGAGCCACCCAGGCGCCCCTTTGCATTCTTAAACTAAATCTTTTGTTTGTTTTTTGTTTTGGTCTGGCAAAGGTATTAAGGTAATGTTGGCTCAAAGAATGAATTTGGCAGCATTTCTTCCAATTCTGTTTTTAGTAATAGTCTGAGAATGATAGATATTTACCCTTCTTTTAATGTTTAGTAGAATTCTCCTGTGATACTATCTAGTTCTGCGCTTTGTTTATTGGGAGTTTTGATTATCAATTTAATTTAATTACAATTACAATTGGTGTTCAGATTTTCTGTTTCTCTCTGATTTAGCTTGGAAGATTGTATGATCCTAGAAATTTATTCATTTCTTACAGATTGTCCAATTTGTTGGCAAATAATTTTTCAAAGTAGTCTCAAAACACTCTACATTTTTGTGGTGTCGGTTGTAACTTTTCTTTCATTTCTAATTTTGAGTCCTCTCTTTTTTTCTTGATAAGTATGGCTAAAGGTTTATCAATTTTATATTTTCATAGCACTAGCTCTTAGTTTCATTGGTCTTTTGTATGATTATTTTTAGTCTCTATTTCATCTATTTTCCTTCTGATCTCTATTATTTCCTTCCTTCCTTCTAACTTTCAATTTTGGTCTTCTTTTTCTAGTTCCTTTAGATGTAATGCAACAATTTATTAAAATTATTTACATATATAGTCTGTTTCATCAATTATCAGAATC